TGGGGACGCCGAGCCGCGATGGGTGATGGAGGCCAGGCAGAGGGTTGTCCCAGCAGCCAGTCAGTCCGTGCAAGCTGGAGAGCTGCCAGCAGCGTGAGCCCACGGCCGGAGAGGGAACTTGGCCCTGCTAGAAGCAGAAGTGAAAAGACAGCAGAAGTGAAAGCACAGCCCAGAGCTGCTTCCCACGCAGTTCCCTCTCTGCAGAGTGCCCGGGAGCACCCAGCAGCACGGCCATGGAGCCCCTCTCCTTCCAGGAATACATCTGCTCCCTGGACCCTGCCACCCTGCCCCGAATCCTCAGGATTTGCTCCGGCGTCTACTTCCAAGGTGAGTGCCAGGTGCCCACTGCCTCTTGCCCCGAGGCTGTGCCACCTCCCCTGCCATGCCACTGCAGCTTGGGCTCCTCCCTCCCTGAAGACAGCTGGTCCCCTGCCACCCGGGTGCCTGTGCCCAGGGAGAGGCACGGGTCCTTGTGCCACCACCAGACACTGGTGCCTAAGGCTTCTTGCAAAGATCTTTCTCTTCTACACCCAGTGCCCACCCAGCTGAGTGCCCCAGGACATTCGGTCATGCTGCTGGGAAAGCAGTGGGGCAACAGAAACCGTCCAAGCTGGTCCCCTGCTTCATGTGCCGCTCTTGTCCCAGGCAGTGAATCACCTGCTGGCAGTGGATCTGGCAGGGATGGAGCCACATGCTCAGTGGCTGGGGGAAGGTGGGATGGCATTGCCCCGGGGCGAGGAGTCCAGCAAGGGCGCAGAGAGCAGCCTGGTCTGAGCTCTCTTCTTCCTCCTGGGCCATGTCCCTGGAGATATCTTCAGTGGAGGAGAAGCCTTGACCGACGTGGCTTCCTCAGCTGACAAGGTTGGTGGTGCAGCAGAACCAGAAATCGGCAAATGCTTTTGCTGGGTTTCTGGGGCTCCCAAAAGTGCTGGGAATGCACAGCGGGATCCTGACAACACCCATGTGGCAATTGCCATCGGGACTTGGAGGATCTGTAGCATCTGTTTAGGTTACACTGACTTTTAAAGAGCAGGAGAAGTGGTTGGGGTGGTCGCACTCTGCTTCTCTGTGGGTCAGTTAGGGTGGATGTTTAGGTTTCCCAAAGACTTCTGGTGGCCTTCTCAGAACCATAACGTTGCTAAACGAGTGACAATGCCGCTGTTCCAACAGCAGCAGTCATTTGTTTGGCAGTTGCTGGTAGTCGTGGTGAGGCAGCTGGTGCTCTCTGCTCCGCATAGCAGGGCGTTTGCCACGAGTTCATCCCAGGGAGGGGAGAAGTTTGGGGCTGCACAGAACATTTGGTAGCAGCTCAATTAATGCAGAGATTTAAGGACAGAAGGGGCATTGCTTGTGTGGGAGGGTACCATGATGTGGCAGCGTAGCCTGAGGAGCTCCTGCTCCAGGAAAGGCTCTGGCTCCAGGAAAGGCACACCTACCCCCGTCCCTTTGCAGCGTGATCAAGCACTGGATCTTTCCTGCTGCATTTTTCATCTGAGTGACACCAGTTCAGCCTCCAGCCATTCCCAGTGTGCTCTCCTGCACTGCTTTTCTCCCCTGTTACGACCCCTGCACAGTTACCAGCACTGGAAACTTTCCAGGACGTGGGCTGTACAAGCCTCCAGGTTTTCCTGGTTCCTTAGAAATAAGCATCAGCCCAACACAGACCCCTCAACCAGCCTGCTGGCTGTGTGTTCCCTTGGGTGCTGGTGACGGTGCCGGGCCGCGCAGACGCCTCAGAGTGCCCTGGGGACCGATCAGCGTTGCGCCCTGCAGACGTGCCATCTGGCACTGGTGGTATTTCTTAAACACCGCTGGATTTCCTGCCGTTACTGACGATCTTACTGATTCTTTTTGTTACCAAAACTTTGGGTGGGTTCCCAAGACGTTAAAGGAAACGACCTTGGCCCCTTCGTGGGCTCCTCTCCCCACCGCGCACTCCTCGCCTCTCCTGAGTCCTTGGTCCCGCTTTATGTTGCAAACCCGCTCTGGCTCGGTGCTGCCTCGGAGCTGCCGAGCGCTTTGAGCT